TGTGCATGTTCGTTAGCGGTTGTTTGTTTCGTGAAGTTATGAGGAATAGATTGTTCAATGGAAGAATTGATGTTTTCAGGTTGTATTTCAGTTAGGTAATGGTACTGAAAAAGTTCGGAAGTATAATACCGTTAAAGAGTAGAGTATCAGATAAATTCGATGTAACCTTGACGGGGAATGAGAAGCGGAATTGGAATCAGAATAGATTACGGCAACGGTACGATGTTTGTGAGAGTCATTCTTGCGAAACGACCACTTCTTCGGTTCGATTAACAGCCGTCAGAAGATTGCCAATTGACGACTTCTCTCAGTCCAAACAATTACAAACGTAAAAAATACTTTTTATCTTCAAAGAATCCAGATGATATACCATCGCTCATTTTATGATAGGATTACTGCAAGCATTTTTAAATGTACAATAATATTGGTTAGAATGCTGGCACTAGTGTCGTCTGAGAGGGCATAACAACGAGTGTGTGCATGCAGAACAGCGCTATGGCTGACGTTCAGCCTTAGCCTCAGCCTCAGCCTCACGCTTAGACTGAGGCCGAGGCTAGGCTTAAGTTGAGGCTGAGGCCATGCCCAGGCTGAGACTGAGCGTCAGCCATACTGTTGTGCCCCCTCAAACGACACTAGTACAAGAATAATATTGATGCCGTTGATGTTACGGTTGGCTTATGGTAATGAATAAGTTCCATTGGTCAGTAAAAGTAGTTATTATTATCGTTGCTTTTGAACTATCGTACTCATTGCAGCCCATATGAATAGCAATAATGATGATGATAAAGTGAACACTGATTATTATATTATTATTATCAAAACTGTTTTGTGGCCCCATAATCAGTATTATTGAAATTCAGGGATAAAGCAGCAACAAGCAGTCAGCGGGTCAGAAGAAATACACAGAATGATAAGGTATCGGTGAGCAATTGTTTCGGTTTAAATCTGAGTTATTTGACTGATATGGTCTGTAATGGGAAAGTTTCGTTTGCACCATTCGAATTCATTATTTTTAAGTTATGCTTGGAAGTGATCCTATTGCACATTAAAAATTATCATTTCTTCGTATCAAAAAGAAACGATGAAACATTTTAGGAAGATAACATAGATGTGCATTCGAGACTGCCTAATTTTGAAGAGTTATTCGGCGATTGTGGAAATGAAAATGAACCAGACATATCACCCAATGAATCGCCTTTTGAGGAAAGTCTGAGTGAGCATTTCGAAGTTGAGGTTTGTTTATGAAGCGTGTCTTTTGATTGTCAATGAATCGTTGATTGTTCACCGATCCTGTTGGGAATGTGTTCATTTGTGGTGTGATCAGTTTAAGTAGTAATGTCTTCACTGAACAGCGATGTCATTTTTCTTTTCTTATATCGGCTTCATTTCATATTTCAAACGGTATTTATTTGGCATTACATTCATAAATGGAAACTGTTTTTAGCATTTGAAAACTGCGTTCCGAGCGGCCAGCAACGGTGATATGAATACTCTAACGACGTGTATCTATAAGTTAGGTATTCCGGTTGATACGGAAAGTTTGAAAGGCGTTTCGATGCTTCAACTTGCAGTTACTGGTGACCATATCAAAGCAGTCAAGTTCTTGATTGAGTAAGTTGTCGTAAAAACTGATTATTGTAAACAAATTATCGTTATTTTCATTGAATTTCAGTTTATGTATCCACCAGTTTAAAGTTTATTTCTTTCCTGAACATATAGTATTCAGTCTCGGAGCCGATGTTAATAAAGCGACGTCTCGTGGGCGAACACCACTCTTAACCGCAGCCAGATATGGTGCTATAAATTCGATGAAATTTATTCTCGATATTCTTTGTCGTCAAGAAAAGGTTGGCAAAGTATATCTCATATGCGACATATTCACATTTCATTGTAGGCGTTTCGCTTTCAGAATTGTTTATTTTTCTAAGGGATACTGGATTTTCAGGATCGTTTGAAAAAACTGAACGCAGAACAGAAAACGTCAAACGATAAAGATGGCTATAAGTTTCTGCTGGTATCGGATGAAAATAACGATAGTGCACTCCATTTGGCATGTCGAGGAATTGACTATAAATGCGTTAAAGTAATCTTTCTTTGTTGTTTCTGATATCTATCGTATAATTTTTAATCTATAATGTGTACTTGCAACAGTGCTGAGGAATGTAGATGAGGTGCTCACTATTTATTTCTTGTGAATCATCAGAAAAGGACGATTACAGCGAGGGAAACGGGGAATCTGGGCGATGAATGATAAATGCTTTGGTGATAAGTTGGTCAGTAGACGAGTGATAATAACTTGAAGTGGTAATGAGGGGTTCTGTAACCGGAGTAATAGTACCGAAGTAAACTTAACGGTTGATATGATAATATTTTAGGTATTATTACGCGTACTGATCCAGTGTTTGGGTTGGCAGAAAGTGGAAAAGATACTATCAGAAACGAACGAACGAGGCTATGCGCCGATTCACATTGCGTGTATGTGGCGTAGTATCAGTGTCGTTCGACTACTGCTAACCAGTCAACTCAACAAAACGATCGCCAAAGTGTGTCCGTTCGCAAGAACCTCTCGCATTGCAAATTCGCTTCGTAATGCCTCATTGAATGCGTTGATTACCGCAAAACTTCAAACGTAATCATTATGAATTTCATTCATTCCATTTTTATTCTGCGTTATTTCATTCTCCTCAAATACCTTCAAACAGTTGGTTGATCAACTTATGTTTTAAACATTTCACATTGTCGCAGAAAAGTTTTGATTTGCGATCATTAATTCGACGAAGGAACTGATATCCAATTCTTATTTGAGCTTTCATATATGCTCATGGTGTGTCAGCGCCAAAAAATCAAGCAACCCATTACGTTCATCAATCAATCCAATGCCGGAACTGAGTTCACAGGGTCGAAATTGATTGAAATCGCCTCATGCTGTATTTGGATTGATACTCCTGATGAATCAGTTCGTGCTTTAATGAACACGTCGATAAATTGAGAAGCACGAAACAAGAAAAGTGTTATTGTTAATGAGCATTTTCAGAATCTTCAGCGTGACAGTTGGGTAATATAAGAATGTGAGCATAATTTTCAGAGGCTCAATACTGCACGAGATGGCGTGTAGTAAAGCGTGTAGCAGATGTGCGTGTGATGCGGGTTTGGCGCAACCGAATAGTGATGTATCGTCGGTGTTGTGCGCCATTCAAGGACTTCCGATGAGCTTGATTGCTGAATACGAGGTTGACGACATGGATTTACCGGATAGAAAGTGTATGGACTGCGAGAAAAGTTAGTTGTTTTGGGAGCGTGACCTGTGATGATTATCTTCATCTTGTTGTGAGCGCATCCAATTATTTTCAGGACGATCTATAGTTGTGTGATGTTGTGTGAATGTTTGACGTCTATAATTCGTTTGCTTTCCATTAAGAAAAAACTTTGTTCTTTACACTCGAACCTGAAGTCCTTTTTTATCAATATAAATGAAACTGAGTGTTTTTAAAACAACTTTTTCATCACCGTTTTCTTTGTGATAAATTACGTTTCGAGGGATAATGCAAAAGGCAAGTGATCGAT